TACTGTCAAATCGGATCTGACTGGTACAGGAGGAGATTGTCTCCTTCTCCAGCAGAGCATCTGGTGGATTTGAACCATGTACCTCTGGGATTGCAGTGCAGCTTCTTGCCACTAGGCCACCAGAGCTCACCCTACTAGCTTTTTTAAGCCATTATTTCTCATTATAATAAGGATAAACCTTCCCCTTACCATCATCTATATTTAGGGAAATATATAAGCCAGCCGCTTTACTCCTTATGTCATAATCTCCGGATTTTAGATAGCCAATTTTTAATTTGCCCAGTCCTATAAAACCAGTACTCTGAGTAAACAAGTGTGTCTTTTCCTATAAAGAATCTTGTTACAGTTGAATCTACATATGTAAACAAGAGTCTGGTCTAGAGCAAATCATTAGGTCACAGTAATTAACATTCCTCAAGTGGAACCAGGTAGTCAGGACAAGTTGAACATGCTCACCAGCTTCCTTTAACTTTAAAAGTCCTGGAAAGGGAGTTCTGATGCTTCCTCCTTCCTCTCATCAAGTAGACCCTACCAAATGTGGGAAGCACTCCTTCTCTTAGCCTAGTCCCACAGCTGTTGGTGATTCACAAGCCCGTGTGCTTGCAGTTAAGGTAGCTGCAGACCTGAGATTAGGTGGTCAACATGAGTTAAGTGTCAGCTTTACTGTGACTTGGTTTTATTGCAAAAGTTTATCTCCCCTCCCCCCACCGCCCCTCTGTTTGCTTTCAAGGGTAACTCTGCTCAGAGTACTGAGTGAGGTTTAACCCTTCTTAGATTAACTCTACACTCTGTGTCAAATTCTACTGTTGTTGTTTTGTTATGTGCCATAGAGTTGCTTACGACTCACAGCGACCCTACTACTGTAGGAATTCTTTTGGGGCAAATTAATTCCCTTTTTGAATACCCTATTACAATCCAACTCCTTACGTTTTTCATCTAATTACAATATGGATCATCAACAAAAACTTTACTCATTTTTTCAATATACCTTAATATTACAAAGCTTTAATAATTTCTTCAATATATCTTAGCATTAAACCAAAAACTTTAGTTATTTTTATAATATAGATCAACGTAACATTATGACATAAAAGGGGAGAAGAGGGGGAGCATCATTCACAGACTTTTAAAGAAATTCTTGGAATCATCTTCATACCTTTTTGTGCCAGACTATAAAGCAACTTCTCATCTTTCTTTCCCCCTCAAGTAACCTTTCCGGTTTTCTATCCTTCTTCATAGAAAGAAATAATAATCATTTTAAATGTACATCTTCTCAAGCCCAACATCTTAAAAAACAAAACACCAACCCATGGGTCTATGAGTCTGAAACAACAAATCCCACTCTTTCTGACACCAAATGTCTAAAGACAGTGTCTTGCTGCCACAAGCCTTGTGGCCCACTGTGGGACAAACTCTTTCTCTTATCCTAGTTCCACAGCTGTTGGTGATTTGCAAAACCATGTGTCTGAAGTTAAGGAAGCTGGAGATGAGAGAGGGTTAAAAATTTTGAGGGTAACACCACAAAGACTGATAACTATTATCTGCTATATAAAACCATTACACTTCCATTCCAATAACCCCAGTGTTAAGTTCTGACGGAAGTCAGTATTTTTCCCTTTTAGTTTTCACTACTGCCTAAAGTGTTTTAACAAAAAATCCTAACAATGAACATCTATGAGTGAACATCTATCTGAGAATGACAACATCAGCAAATTATATACTGCAACACTGTACATGTTGCTGTTGTTAGGTGTCATTAAGCCAATTATGATTCTACAACTATGAACAGATCTGAACTTTGCCTTATCCTGCACTATCCTATAATCTCTGATATGCTGAAGCCCACTGTTATGGTCACTGTGTCAAAAAACCATCTTGTTAATGATCTTCCTCTCTTCTGCTGACCCTCCTCCTCCACCTTTCCCAGTTTGATGCCTTTTTTCCCAAAGACTTGTCTATCCTAATTTATTTTATATATTAAATAGTCATTATGTTCTTTTATATGTTACAATTAAACCTTTATAAAGATATTTAAACAAAATATGCAGCAACAGAGGATAAGTAAAGATGACAAATCTGCATTTTTCAGAAACAAATCAAAAGATGAGCTGTAAAAGCTTACTTTTTCCCCTAGAATTAAAGAAGAAAATAGCGTTTCCCCCAGTTCATAGCCAGGCACCCCCTAAAACAAACAAATAAACAAAAAAAAAACAAATTTAAAAAAAACCCTCCTTAATAGTTAAAACAATTTGAATCACCTCTAGAGACCATAAGCAGATCTGGTGGCATACTACACAGAAGAAACTGCACTGCTAAGCCAAAGACTGAGCCTCTCTGTTAGCAAAATACAGCCTTGGAAACTCAAAAAAGTTCAGCTTGATGATTCTGAAGGTTCATTTTGACTTGTCAGCCATGTGATGTGAGCTGGTGATTGAGTCTAGATGGTTAGGAAAAGAGGAAGATGGTATTTTTCTGTTTGCTTTTGTTTTGAATTTTATGAGATTAAAATCCTTACACTGGAGAGAGAGATAGTAAGTTTCACCATTCCAAGGTTCATAATGGATTGTGGATCTCCAGGCTACCATCAGATATTACCACAACTTCCTTAATTAGAGTCATATACATTTTATTACCTTCAGAAAACAACAATTCGTCAACTGTCAACAGCAATCCTATATTGGTTGGTAGGTAGGTAGGTGGTTGGGTGTGGGAGGGAGGGAGGGAGGGAGGGAAGGAAGGAAGGAAGGAAGGAAGGAAGGAAGGAAGGAAGGAGGGAAGGAAGGAAGGAAGGAAGGAAGGAAGGAAGGAAGGAAGGAAGGAAGGGGAAAGGAAGGGAGAAGAGGCGAAGGAGAGAGAGGGAGAGAGGGAGAGGGAGAGAGAAGATAGAATGTATTTTCACAGCTCAAAGAAAATGGACAAAATATCTTGAAGCAAATAGTTCAGGGAATCCCTCATTAAAAGTGCTTTCAAAAACTGTGAGTTGCACATGGCTTCACCAGCGAATTCTATCAAACATACAGAAAAGAGCTGATACTGATGTCCTGGGGGGAAAATACAGCCGGGGTGCTCCTGAGAGGCAAAGCTAATGAAAAACTATCTCAGATACTTTGAACATGTTGTTAGGCGGGCCCAGTCCTTGGAAAATGACAACACTCTTGAACACATGAAGGTCAGCAAAAGAGAGGAACCCCTCAATGAAATAAATTGACTGAGTGACTGTAACAATAAGCTTAGTATGGCAGAGATGATGAGGATCGCACAAGTTAGAGCAGGGTTCAGGTCTGTTGTTCACAGGGTCACTGCATCATAGTTGACTTAACGACACCTAACAACTCCAAAAATCCTGCAAACCAAGCACAACCTTGATACCAAACTTAAGCAAAAGTAAAAACAAAACAACTCATCACCAAAAAACCCACAAAGCAAAACAAACAATTTCAAATTCACTGCCATTCAATAAGAACCAACTCATATCAGGTTTTCAGGGGTTATAAACCAAGTTTCTACTTGGAGGCTAGGATTCTGAAGCTCCATCTCACATACTTTGGGCACATGGCCAGGAAAGACAGGTCCTTGGGGAAAAAAGAAAAAAAATCATGCTTGGAAGGGTGGAGGGTCAGTGCAGGAGAGAAGACCCAGATGAGATGGACTGATACAGTAACTGGGGTAAGGGGGTTGGGTGTGTCCAAATTAGTGAGAAGTGTCAGGATAGAGCATGGTTCAGAGCTACTGTACACAGGGTCACTATGGGTTACAGGCGACTAGATGGCATAAACAACAAGAAGACACTATTTCTTGAAGAGCAGATGGTAGATTTGAATGGCCTGCCTTTAAGTTGGCAGTGCAATTCCTTAATCACCAGAGCTTCCTAGGCAAAGTTAACACTGGCAAAGAAAATTATATACCAATGTCCTTCACAAACATAAAAATTCTCAACAAAATCACAGCCTACAGAATCCAATATCATATCAAGGCACTAATCGTGATCAAATGGCATTCATACTATATAGGCAAAGAGGATTCAATAGTAGAGAAAATAAAAACCAGGGCAATCTAACATACCAATAAAACAAAGAAAAAGAACCACATGATCATCTCAATTTATGGAGAGAAGGCATTTGACAAAATTCATACTTTCCGATAAAACACTCAATAAAATAGGAATATAGGAAAAATTCCTCAACAGAGCTAAAAGCAAAAACACAAAAGCAACAGCCAAGTTATACTATATACGCAGATGATATAATGGTGTACAAAGAAAACCCCAAAGACTCAACAAAATAACTGTTATAGCTAGTAGACCAAAAGACTCAACAAAATAACCTTTAGAGCTAGTAGACCATAGTAACAGAGGTGTCAGGATATATGATTAATATCCAAATGAGGAGAAATTTGGGGTCAGGATTGGTGGACGATTTATCAACAACCTGCGTTATGCGGATGACACAACCCTGCTTGCTGAAACTGAAGAGGACCTGAAGCGCCTGCTGCAGAGTG